CAGGAATGCAAAGATGCAACGCAAATTTGAGAAATAATACATTGTTGCAACTATCGACTTATCTGGTTGACAGGCATCACTCGCTTATTATTTTCCAAATACCATTACTTATATCAATGGCACTCATCTTTGAGGTGTCATATTCAAACTTCTCAACGGCATCTTTATCCTTTTCCACAACATCTGCAATTGAGGGTTAAGGAGCAACCAACTTTTGATTTTTTGAATAACAGGGTATCAACAGATAATTAATAATACTGGAAGAAACAGAAGAGGGGACGCAGAATAGTAAATCATTAAAAGGATACAGCCTGAGATTTTGGAGTGTTCATTCAAGTTAGGCACAATATTTGTGACAGAAGCATACATTGAAAGTATCATCCTGAAACAGAAGAGAAGAATGCATTTATGCTCCACTTTAAGTTGAATATGTTAAAGTCAAACATTGTCACGAGTTTAGAACAATTAATTGACTCCACTATCATTGATGAGGCATAATCACATGATTGAGACTCTAACATGAATAACAAATAAATCAAATATACGTGGCAGCTTCACTATCTTGGATACAAGTTCTGTAATTTACTTACTGTGTCCTCAGCTTATTTTTCTCAATTTGCTGTAAACTCTTCTTTTGCTCTTGGACAGAAATCCATTGCTTTTCAACATCATTAAACTCTTCGTTAATGGCTGTGTTGATGACAGATAGATGTTAGGATATGACATGCTGTCATGTTAATGATACAAAATCAAAATGAGCATACAATTGAAGAGACCAAAACAACTAGAGACTTATCTAAACTCCTCTTTCAATGAGCGATCTTTTTCAAGTTCTTCCTCCAGTTCTCTCTGCAGAAGATCCAGGTCTGCATCAGAAGCTGTCTCGGATCTAGCTTCCTCTATTTTCTGTTTGCATGCATCTATTTTTTTCTGATAATCTGATACATACAAGCATGGGTCAACATCATAATACAATCAAGAAGGTTTTAAAAACAATCTGTGACCGAGATTTAGGTTGCAACATCAAGGTTTTTGAATGCTAGTGAATGCAATTGTGGCCCATTTGTCTGCAACTTCTCACAATATCAAGGAATGTGACAAAACCATGACCTCAACCACAATTGAAAACCTTTGTAAGAGTCAGCAATTAGCATACACACATCCACTTTCACTTGTTTGATTCACTAGAAACTTTTTATCAAATCCAACAGCATTTTTATTTTTCTTATCCTCCATTATCTTTACCTAAATTAATATAAAATCAAATAACTCACAAAGGTGAAACCATAACCAACAGGGGGGAATGCAAACATCAAAACACTTGAACTTCATTCATAGTGATACTCAAGTCTTCATAATATTAACAAAGACTTGTTTTTGTAATCAAAAGTTAGGGTATCAAAACCTTTACAAATAATTTGCAACATCTCAAATAAAAAATAATAATGAGAAAGAGTGAAATAATTCCTGATAAAAACAAACCCTGTTGCCACATTGGCACTATAATCCCAAGTGAAAAACTCATATTCACATTACACAACATTTTTTCCCACGTGTATTCTCCTTTGAGGTCCATCATATTCGAGGCACTATAAGACACTAAATCAACAAGAATTCAAACTTTGGTTATGCAGAACAACTCCCTTCCACTAGAATCAACCCTCAAAGGTACATTGTACATAAACTACCAGCCAAAGACACGAGACAAAAAGATACAACAAAAATACTCCTTTTTTTAATCATCAAGCCTCACAAAGTTCAACAAAATAATATTACACAATCCTAGACCACCACATGTCCATAGACCCTACTGTCATACTCATACCACTCATAACCAAAAAACTTACTTTAGGAGAAAGTGATAATCACACTCAATTCCATATACCAACAAGTCATTGATCAAAGCGTAACTCAACTCAGTTCTCTTAAAGACGGTATCAGATTCAAATCTTATGAATAAAAAAATGTGATTGAAAGATCCAATCCTACTAAAAATGATCGACAAGGTTCCCGACAGGAATTTGACATGACATTGATATATATATTTCATACTAATAACATGATTACCCAAAAAAAAAAAAAAAACTGAATTAGGCATCATGTAAAAATTAGTTGAAACCATGGGCATGTAACAATTTCTCAAAATTAAACAACCATTACCAGAAAACGGAAAAAGTAAACCTAAAACCTGAAACAGCGAGATTTTATGGGAAGAGAAAAGGGATGATTGACCTTGGAGGAAGGAGCGAGCATCGTTGAGGTGGGAGTGGCAGGTGGAAGAGAGGAAGTGGGTTTGTTGGAGGCAGTGGGAGAGGCTGTGGTGGTCGCGCGGGTCCTGCAACACCTTAACGAGGTCGTCGGTGTAGGAGATGAGCTTCTCCACCTCCATGTTTCTCGAACCTTCCGCCATCTCTCTCCGAAGGCCTTTCCCTCTTCTCTTCACACAATATTCAAAATTGGTTGAGTTGGGGTTTCCGAACTCTCTTCCGGGAAGGGCTTTCCACTTTGAATTTTGCTCTTTACCTTTTACAAGGAGGGAAACATTTTCCTTTCGTAATTAACTTCCTCCATTATAATCTCCTTTTTTTCGGTTTATGGGATAATAACAATTGTTTTAATTTATTCTATTTATTATCCTTGCCAATATAAAAAAAATCCGTTTTAAATTTTTTTAATAAAACTCATTTTTAGTCAAATAAATAAAAAATATATATTTTTAATGTGTCTGATTAAATTACTTATTTTTTTTTAAAATATGTTTTTAAAAGAAAATAATCACTTATTTTAATAGGACTTAAATATGTTTTTAGTCTCTCAAATTTAAAATAAATTTACTTTTTATCTTTCAAATTTAAATTTACTGTTTTTAGTCTCTATGATTTTCAAAAATATTGTCTTAGGGGGGTGTATTAGTTTAGGATTTTGTAGGATTTTAAATTGAACACGTCAATGTAGTGTTTGTTGTCAATGCATACTTTTGCTGATGTACTTTATTTTAATGTTGTTGTAGAAAAATTACAAATTCCAGGAGACATGATTTGTTTTCGTGTTCTTTATTTTCCAAAATATGAAAGTATATTCAACTTATTGGAATTACATAATGTGTGAGGATGTGACCTTCGTCAACGATATAAGATTAATTGGTTGGTGAAATAATATTTTCCTCACATTTTAGCCTCTTGTTCCTGTAGCGTTGTCTGAGTCTGAATGTGTTTTACTAGACTTTGTTTTCTTATCCTTCAAAAGTTAATATCATAAAAAATTACTGTTCCATTTACTGATGTCCATTATATTCTTTCTTCATATATATATATATATAATACATAATTTTGTTCCATACTATTATTTTCTACAATTATATTATTAGTATGAAATATTCACTAATTTTGCTAGTGATTAGTCTTTAAGAGATCTTGGTTATGATTAGTTACTTTTAATAAAGAAAAATTCTATAAACTCTGAAAAAATTCATTCTAATTTATCTTATAATTATTATATATTAATGTTGGGGTAGAGGGTGTCACACAAATAAATAATTAAAAAATATTATAAATAATAGAGACTAAAAACAATAATTCTAAATTTTACAAGAATGAGAAATAAAGAAAAAAACATGAAGTAAAATCAAGTTTGTTTATTTTGCATGGATTAAAGTCATTTTTAAATCTAAAAAAAACATCATTAGTTAAAAATAATTTTGTATCAAAATATAAATTATTTATCATAAAATTAAAACATAATTTATATAGTAAAGATATTTATTTATTAAAATATATAATTTGAATTTAATTTTTATATAAGAAGACATTTATTTATTGTAATTTTTGCTACATAAAATAAAAAGTTATGTTATCTTCCGATACTAATTTTATATTAAATAAAGTTGATAATTATTACTTCCTTCATCAATGTATTTGAAGAAAAACTAAGTTTTCAAATAAATATCTTGTTAACTTTAATGCAATATTAATGACTTCTTTTTCATTTATGTCAAAGCAGTTATTGTACTATATATCTCTAACAAAAAAAAAATTAAACATAAGATTGATTTTGTAAATATAGTATTCTTTATCTATTTATTATTTTTTCTAGATTTGTATAAAATAACTAAATAGTAAATATAACATTTATTATGAGGGAAAGAAGTAATATTTAATTAATAAAAAAAATATAATTTTGCGTGTACGCAAAGATGGTTGAACACGTCAATGTAGTGTTTGTTGTCAATGCATACTTTTGCTGATGTACTTTATTTTAATGTTGTTGTAGAAAAATTACAAATTCCAGGAGACATGATTTGTTTTCGTGTTCTTTATTTTCCAAAATATGAAAGTATATTCAACTTATTGGAATTACATAATGTGTGAGGATGTGACCTTCGTCAACGATATAAGATTAATTGGTTGGTGAAATAATATTTTCCTCACATTTTAGCCTCTTGTTCCTGTAGCGTTGTCATCCTGATTTTAAGTCTTGTAAAATCCTGCAAAATCTTAAAAGTCATGAAAATCCTGCAAAGTCTTTTAAAATCCGCAGGATTTATTTTAACTAAAAAAGTCCTTTAAAATTTTAATCCAATACACCCCCTTAGTCTCTCATATCACCAATAATATAATTGAGATAATTATACAATATTAATTAAGTTTAGTATGATATTTTTACTAATAAACACACAAGTAAATAGATTTTATGTCATGGTATTTAACAGATTTTCTAACAAAATTTGAGTATTATGATTAAAATAATTTTTTAAAAAAATTACAGATTTAAGACATTAATTTTAAATTTGAGAAATTAAAAATAAATTTACCTTAAATTTGAGAAACTAAAAATATATTTAAATATTTTAATATTAAACAAATTAACTACTTTCTTTTTCAGCTTTTTGAAAAAAAAAACATAAGCAACTTTTTTTGTTTTTTAATATATTTTCTAAATTATTAAAAAAACCATTTTTACTTATTTTTTAAGGTAACACTCTTATTTGTTAATATTTCTGTTAAACTCATATTTTTTTAATATTTTTTAGTTTTAAACATTGATCCATCAGTGGTTGTGAAAAAGTAAAAAAAAAAATATCACCTTAATCATAAATAAATTTTATTATACAAAATTTTAAATTTTATTAAGCTAAAAACCTATTTTGGTCCCTTATAATAATTGTTTGTTTCAATTTAGTCTCACTTTTATTTTTAGTCTCAATTTGGTCCCTCATAAGTTAATTGATTTCAATTTGGGACTTCCGTCCAAATTATTTAAACGGAGTTAACTGTTGGCCACGTGGATGTCACGTAGATACATACGTGGATACCACGTGGACGCCAAATATTGTGAAAACACCTGAAACCAGAATGGCCCGTTCTGAAACCAGAACTGACTGTTCTAGTTTCAGAATGGGCCGTTCTGGATTCAGAACCGGCCGTTCTACAACTAGAACGGCCCGTTCCAAAACTGAGAATAGAATATTCTTTATTAATTTTATTAAAAAATATAATAATTTTGAAAAATATTTTTTTATGGTAAAAATTTTAAAATTATTTATTTTTATAAAATACAATTGTCTTATAAATAGAGTAATAACTTTTTCTTTTTCTCTTTCTGTCTGAAGAAATATTTAAGTGTCACTTTATAATTTTTTGCAACTTATTTAAAATTAGAGGAATAAAATGATAAAAATTAATAGGATAAACATAATAAAATTATTAATTTATTTTCTTTTAGTGTCCTCTAAATTTTTACACTCATTTAAAACAAAAATATTTTATATGTTAATTTGAATTAATTTAACGAAGTATCATATGATTTTTAATTTTTTAAAATTTTTTATAAATTTGATCTATACATGAAAAGCTTTTTAATTTAACAATTAAATTTTTAAAAATTTGATATAGAACATTAATTATTAAGTAGAATAAATCTATCAAGACTTACTCTTGAAGTAAGTAAATTTTTTCTTCATTAAAAATGAAGATAATTTTACCACAAAATAAAAAAAAATTAAACAATAAAATAAAATATAAAAAAAATATTAATATATTTATTATATTAGATATAACAACATAATTAAAATTTAATTAATAATATATTTTTTATAAAATTATTAATATTTATATATAAAAAAAAAGAATGAAAAAAATTGTAGTGGGGGCAAGTGCCCCCACTATGATTAACTTAGATCTGTCCCTGCATATGGTTGTGGTGAAATGTTAGTCCTGTGTATCCTCTTCCTTTACTTCATATTCTACCTCTTCAAGAACAGGTTGTTGTTGTTGAGGTACATCGTTAATGACTTCAAGAAAAAATACTATGTCATTTCATCCTTTACTGTATAGTGTCAATTTGGTAGTAAGTGGTTCACTCCAGTTTCAAATGAAATAAAATATGCTACCATTGTCTTTAGTGATACATTACATTGTCCTTAATAATACACTGTATAACCTAACTGTTTAGCAATTAAAGTTATCAATTTCCATTGACAATATTACCAAATTCAGTGTTTGAAATGTTTTGTACCTTGGGTCTTTTTCCTTCCATGATTCACAACCGTGAACTATAATTATTGATCGTTTATGCTTAGCAATTTGGAACCAGAACGGCCCGTTCTGAAACCAGAACGGCCCGTTCTGAAACCAGAACGGCCCGTTCTAGTTGTACTTTTAGTGTGTAAATTTTGCACCTGGAACGGGTCGTTCCGGATCCAGAACAGCCCGTTCTGGTTGTACTTTTAGTGTGTAAATTTTGCACCTGGAACGGGTCGTTCCGGATGCAAAATTAACACACCAAAAGTGTAACCAAAACGGCCCGTTTTGGTTTCAGAACGGGTCGTTCTGGTTTCAGAACGGGTCGTTCAGGTTCCAAGTGTTTTCAAAAAAATTGGCATCCACGTGGCATCCACCTATGCATCTACGTGGTATCCACGTGACCACACAGTTAACTCCGTTTAAATAATTTGGACGGAAGTCCTAAATTGAAACTAATTAATTTATTAGGGACTTAATTGAGACCAATTAATTTATTAGGCACCAAATTGAGACCAAAAATAAAAGTGGGACTAAATTAAAACAAACAATTATTATAAGGGACTAAAATAGGTTTTTTGCCATTTTATTATTATCATTATAATTATTATGAATAAAAAATTAAAATTAAATTAATTCATACAATCTTTTATAATAATATTAAGTTAAAAATTAAATATTTTATTAAAAATTTAAAAAATTGAACCAAGTTTATTTATGTTTTATCCTAATGAAAAATAGTATTATCACATAAAAATAAAAATCTTTTACATAAAAAAATAGATTAAAAATCAATATAAAAGCTTAAGTACATTATTCAATTAAAGCATGACAATTTATTTCTAATATAAAAGTCGAGTTAAATACTATTATATTAACATGATGTCAAAACTAATTTTATATGTTATCACATCAAAATATGTATTTACATATTAATTTTTTTATATTTATTATATAAAAATCAAGCTAAATACTATTACATTGACATATCACCATAAAACCAATTTCACATGTTATCATATTAGCTTATTTATTT